AAAAAAAAATGCGTCCTATCGATTGGCGGGGAGGCGGGGTGAGTACGGTAATTGCAGTGACGTTTGCCGCATGCCGCAAGGGAGAATGAAGCACTCGTGGAAAAGATCCGTCACTCCATACGCATCCATTACGCCCCTACGATACCGAATGGAAATCGAGGGCGGGGGCGCATCCCTCAGGCCAGATTGATTAACGCCAAAAACTTTATTCTTCAACCTTTATTGGTCGATGACAGTAATCAATTTGATAAGAACAAACTTTACAAAATTAGTAGTTTTCTAGAACTGTTCAATGCGAATTGTGTGAAAGTCTACAGACCTGAGAAAAATTGCACTGTTGAGTCATTAGTGCCATTACGTGGTAAAATAGTTTTCAAGCAATACATCCCTTCCGAGGCAGAAATATCAAATAATACTTTTCAAGTTATGAGGGTGGTACACATAAAGGTTTAAGATTTACTTCGGTGGACAGACCACAGCAACGATTCAGTAGCTGTACTTGCTGTGGTCATAACCAATGAACGGACTCTCGAATCAAGGAATACATCTCGATAACTGGTACTCAAGCTAATGGCTGATTGGAACATAGAATCCACTTTTCCTAGACTTGGAAAAGCGCGAAGGAATACTAATAAAAGTCGAGGATAGGAAGTGAACAAGAAGATGAGTTCTCGAAAAGGTTTTTACAAAAACTAACTCGAAATTATGGGCGTGATTACGCTTTTCAATAATATTCTTCCCAATATGAGTCAACTTTTTACATCAATTGTTATCGAAAAAGGCTCAAGTGTGGTTTTCAGGGAGAACCTTGAATTTATTCGTAGTTTCTAGAAATTGATTATGTTTTTCTCAGCCCACCTTGTGTATAGTATAGTTCGGTGATTGCAATCACATTAAATATAAAAAACTTCAAAAAATTCAAGAAAAGTAACCAATGGAAAGGGTGCAGCTCAACGTTGTGCCGCGTTGTCGTCAGAGGGTTAATTTCTCCGAATTTTTCTGGCAGTACGGACATTTAGTGTAGCATCGAGGAGCAGAAGTTCTCAATGAGCAACCGGACCTGCACTCCATTATCACAGAAAAAACCTCTTCTGAGAGGTTTTGCTTCGATGACGGGAGGTTCAGGATCGGTTGCCAAAAATGACCACGATTTAATCCATGGTTTCAGACGTGTGCCACCAGTGATGGTGAAGAACTTCTTCGTGCATTTGGGTACAGTGGTATTCGCTTGTGGAGGTCATGCCGCGTTTTCTACAGTTCAGCACGACATGAATAATCCAGGAGATTACAGCAATCAGCCTTCACTGCCTTTACGTGTGAACTTTTGCATAAATTGGTAGATTTAGATCGATATGATATAAGGGCTTCAGTTTTTACCCGAACATACTCTCCCACCATCGAATCGAATGCTAATCAATTCCGATTTTAAACTTTATTGCTGACTTCATGGGACAAATAGGTTTGTCAGAACTAACAGACGTTGGCATTTGCAAGATTGTTTGGGATAGAGTACCCACTTTTCACGTTGTTCAGTAACGTCACAGGGAGTATCAAAACTGAAGATGAAGCCGATCGGAGAGAGACCTTCATTATCGTCGTCTGAGTCAACAATTATATCACTTGTCGCACTCATAGTCTGAGACGACGTTCCAAGTGAGGGATGCCTGGATAATACGGGGGATCAGAAGGGTGGTCCCTACTTCTTCCTCGAGTAACGTCAAGGGGAAGGCGTACTTTGTGTCCTATAAGGGCCCATTATTATTCAGTGTTTTCGTTGCGGTAACATCCACTTTTACTTGCTGAATTCCACACCGCTATCACCATAGTCATTGCAAACCATCGAACCACCCAGCACAAAAAACGCTATTCCCGAATGGACTGTATCACCGATTCAGCGTTGTTATTTGAAGTATGCCCACACACGTAGTTTTATAAAGTTCCAGAACAACCTCACATTCAAATGATTTTAGGCGATTCTTGCAGATATGCGATGTACGCGGTTATTGCGAAATTGACGTCATCTTCATGGCTGGTTGAGTACGTGAGCAGGATTACCTTTGCGGATTCGAGAGTTCGAAACTCGAATTGCGTTAGTGGGGCTTATACAGTGCGTTTCATAATTATAAGGTCACCCTCAATTTTTGCACTTCCAAAAAAAGTAATCATTAAGGATTTTTTCTAGCATCACGAACAGATTCCCCAGCATGAATAACCTAAGTATCCGTTTCTTAGCCACTGTTGCATTTTTCTGAACTTTTTTAGAACAGTTCATCGGTTTTTGCACCGTTTCATAATTACAAGGTCACCCTGAGAAAGTGAACAATTATTCAAGGAAGAGAAGAAATTTCGTGTTTAAAGATACTTATGAAGGTAAGCATGTGTAGCAAATGCATTTCTAAACCTGACCGTCAGCATGGCTCGTGGTCATCTGCTTTCCTCTGATGAGAAGGCTCATCATGAAGGTGGGCTCCGTACTCGAGCCATTTCCAGGCAAATAGAGAGATCCCCTTGGTCCATTCGGAGATTTCTAGAGAGTCCTCATGTCGTTAGATATAACACCGACTGTGGACACCCATTAAAGATTACTACCCGTGACGAGCGGAAAATTCTGAGCACTGCTTCCAACAGTACGTCCTCCTTGAACCAGATCCGATCGGAATTAAACCTCTCTGTGTCGAAAACTACAGTCTGCAGAGCAGTGAGAAGATGCGAGAACATCAGGCAAGCAATGGAAGGTGCCGTGAATCACCGATCGTCACAGAGAGGCTCGTCTCGGATTTGCAAAGATGAACCTTGGGAGAGATTGGGCAAAGGTAGATTTACATCAGAATTTCATTACAGAGCTGAATAATTCCTATTCAGGTCGTCTTTTCGGATGAAAAGAAATTCAATNTTCGGTGGAGGAAGTCTATGGCGTGGGGTGCATTCTGTAATGATGTCGTGTTGGCTCTACCTGTCGAGAGCTGCAGTATGGACTTCAAGGATTAATAGAAAGTCTTGGAGCATCATCTAGTACCCTTTCTATGCCATCGCCGTCACCTCAACTGTGTGTTTCAACAAGACAACGCCTCCATTTATGTGAGCCGTGCATCGGATGAGTGGCTGCAATGCCAATAAATAAGCGTTCTGCCATGGCCAGCCTGCACCCGATCTCAATCCGATGGAACATATGTGGAGCATAATAGTCAGACAGGTTTATGCGAATAACCGTCAGTTCCAGGGCACAGAAGAGCTGAAGCGAGCAGTTATCGAAGCATGGAGAGCAATCGATGAGGAAAATCTTCGAAACCTAGTTTCTAATATGCCACGCAGGCTCTTTGATGCTGCTCTTAAACAAGGAGGAGCTACAGATTATTAACTGTTGTACATATGCCATTAACATTGTTAAATCATTTACTTTCTCAGGGTGACCTTATAATTATGAAACGGTGCAAAAGCCGACACTATCTTTAAAAAATTCGTAAAAAAATTTGAGGTGAAGGATATTGCGACCAAACTTCGAATACGGAGGTACATTGTGATGAGGAATCTTCCTGTGTTTACCAAAAAATTCCATTCCGGCTGCTTTCTCCAGAATCGCAAAAATCGAGGGTGACCTTATAATTATGAAACGCACTGTACGAGCGGGTCCGAAAGTTATGTGCCTGTGCCAGCCTTATAAAATAAAGTGTGACAGAGGCGGGACTATGATTTCCGAAACGAAACCATAGAGGTCACCATTTCTGTCCATTCCTTATGCCCCAATGTTGATGAGCTTCAACAAATTCGTAGAACTTTTCACGAGTTATCTCTTTTATCTAGTGTGGGGTGTCTATTTGTGAGCTTATAGAATGTAGGAACTTAAGCGTCCGCGAGCCAATGAACTTCGAAATGTTTCATTATGATTAGCATTCGATCTTCGTAGAGCTTGAAAAATTCAAATACGGTGGGATGAGAACTGGTCAATCGATATGAGCTACGTGAGGGTGCCCGTGGGTGCGGTGCGATTCACGCGTGGAGAAAATGAGGTCGCCTCGCGTGAAGGGCGGGGACTGCTAGGGCGCGGTGCCGTGGAAGAGACGGGCAAAAACATGTCTACCACCGAAATGGGGAAAACAGAAAATGTAAAAGACACTTAAAAATGGTCAACTATGCACGTTTACAGATGGATTGTGTTTGAGAGGATCGAAAAATTTTGAAGTTATTCATAGTTCGTGTGTTTGACAAGCAAATTTTTGACCTATGAAGAATTTGCAATCTCAAAGGGACTTCATCGCCATGGTGAGGCTTCCATCTTAACTGAAACGCACGGTACCGACTGCACCGAAATCGCGGCGTAATGTGCTGCACAGTGTGTCGCGAGTGAGGTCACTAACGGATTTCATAGTACCGTGAATGTGTTACCCAGTTACCCGAAGATACACTCAGGCGCCTCCAAACCAAGAAAAGGGTGTCCTGGGCTGGGTGGTGGGGCACGAGAGGGTTACTGTACCACAATTTGACGGGATGTTGAAATCCCTCCGATAATGGTCACGCACGTATCCCGGTCCATCTAGACGACGCTGGAACATCAGCCTTTTGCAGCATATTCTACTTGATCTACAATTCACTAAATAGCAAAACTTGCACACCTCATATTACGCACAAATGTGAAGAGAACTTCATAACTCCAGTTGCGTATTTTTGAAGCACAACAAATTGTTGCATTCACTCCCCGAAGAGCTTCATTTGCCACGTTCAATTTTTTTGTGTGATTCATCGATCAATCGTTAGCATTGTTTCGATAGCCTCATTCCCTCCCGACCATGATCAGGGCTACAGTTTTGAGGGAATCTTGGATTTTTTTTTAGAAAACTCTGGTAAGTTATACTCACCTGACTCTGGGGCCCATTGCTCGGTAGCCAATGGACGCATACGGTTTCCGGCAATGCACCCTATACATCGACCATGTGTTCAGCAAAATATTCCAACACTGTCCCAGTGCATACGCTGAGTACATCGTGACACCCATCAGCAGTAAGAATATCACGAAACCAATGTAGAAATCTGAACAATGAAACAACATCATAAAATTCTCTGTGTCTAATGATCCCTTTGGAACACATCACGTGCACGACCTCGAGATCTCGTTCTGGAACATGCGATTATTTGGAAGTACAATCGACTTTTATTATCACTAGCAAATAAACCCATTAACATTTGAACGAAGCCTTAATCTAAGAAAACAATTTTGGTACCTATCGAAGGCATGCGATGCTGCTTGTTTCATCTAAAAGGGGTATCTATCCTATCATGAGGGACGCGTAGACTGTCTGTAGTACGAAAATTCGGCAGACCAACCGAAGATTACCTATCCGTACTTTAGATAGGCTTAGGCACAACATGTGACTGGAGAATCGTTCGCATAGAATCAATCGGGCCTACAGAAATCTACAAGGTGGGTCAAAAATATGACTACGGGGTAGGAAGCTTTTTAGGCAAACCTACATATGTCAGAAAAGTGGTTATCACTGATCTCATAATAAAAAAGTACATTGAAACTGAGATCTGTTACTTTTTGCTTTCGCCCAACCTTATAGACGACGATAGACGGCGTCGACTGTGGGCACGCAGCTGAGACCAGCGAATTAATCCCGGCTTCTTGCAAGACGTTTTCGAGATCATTTGAGTTTTTGTTTGGGTTAGCGGATGCTCTCATCGCAAAGGCTGACCATACTGAGACATCCATGGGATTTAAGGCTCATAGTTGGTCACTGATCGAAGGTTATTGAGTCAGGGAACCCCTTTTACGAAGTTTCTAGACAATATCTGATCTGCGGTAAGGAGTTTCACCTTGACATTATGTCCGGTTTGAACCGCCAAAGTGTCCTGTTGCGCTCGACGAGATCGAACAGGTCTCCGAATCAGCTTTCACTCCTTATTTTATGAAAACAATCAATGCTTTTCCCTCGGCAGTCTCGCAAAGACTAGAAAGTCAGAAACTCAATGAGCCTAGCGCTGTTTCACTTCCATTTCTTTCAGCTTCATATAAATCTCATCGCCCTGCTTATTGGCCACCTTTCTTATTGTGAAATCTCTTAGTCGGTGAACAGGAACTCCGTGCGACGATTTTTTCATATACGGCAGGGCAACTTCTGTGAGCTACTCTTTCTCTCCTCTTTAGCCTGCTCACTCGAAAAACCCTTTTTCTGATCGTATGAGGGTCTTGTTGTGCAGACGATGGTTCACGATTTTGCGCAAAAATCGTTATTAAATAACCCCTCGTTCGGCCATTTTTGGCTCAGGGTGAACTTCACTGCTATACAGACAGTCGTCCTGCTTCCTCAACACTTCTAATAATAGTAACCTTAACCATCTTGTGCTATCCGATCTGCAGTTGTTCCCAACCCTTGAAAGCGCCTTATGTATTGAGTCGTTTGTATGTAGATGTCCCGTGCCAAGAGTGCTTGTAAATGCAAAGCAATGATTGATTCACGGGTCGCGACGCTTGCATTATTTTCAAAATAAAGTTCAGTGTCACTTTGAGGTAAATAATGTTATCAACCTTGTGAAAGGGAAGGATCCGAATGAAATGTTATGAGCTCAGAAAAAATTTGGTATGAGGGTGAGCGCGCGCTGTCATCATAATTTTGGCTCACCTTGTAGATTAAAATCGACGACGTGGAATATCTAGTGATTAACAAGGGGGCCTTCTCAGGTTGGGCTGGGCTCCGAAATTGAATCACTCAGCGGCACAACATATCTTTTATGTTTTTCAGACTATTGTGTGTTCAAACATACGTTCAAACGCAAAACTAATCTCAGTGGGTTCAAGCGCACGGCGCAAACCAAAAGGATATGCCATTGGTAAGGCTAGATTCACATCCATTTTAATAATGGAGACCGTGCTAAAAGGATCTCTAGAAATGTTTTCTCTCACCTGTACGAACCATAGCCGTTGGAAGTGTTACAAGGCCACCGCCGCCCAAGTCATCTACCAGGAAAAGTGCAGCAACGAACCAGCTAATTCCTCCAGGTTTTCTGAACGGATCCGTCACGCTGATAACGCTCGGGCTCGCTAGACGCCCCGTTGGTGGTGAAAGACTTCTCCTTAAAGTCTGATTAAGTCCTCCATAGAAATTATTTTTGAAATTTTGAGATGTGTTGGAAGTACTTAACAGCGTACACAATATATTTGATATTCGGAGAAAGTAGCTTGTTATGGTTACGTGCGAGAGATCCAACAGTACGAGGGATACGAACAAGACCGGGAAGTCTCACGTTATCGTATGTAAACGAATTGTATAGGCATGAAGATCAGGAAATTCCGGATAATAGAGAAAGGGACAACATTCCCCGACAAGTAAACACAGTACCTATTGTTAGAACACTCTGACGAGGTACAACTGAATATGACTTTGTCGAAAGCTCAGTTCATGATATTTTTGATGTGTCTAGCTTAAGAGAAATCATGTAAGTTATGATGCAGAATAGTGCAAAAATGGCGAAGAAAATGGGGAAACTGGCGGATTTTGGGAAATATGAGGCTTCATAAAATTAGTAAGTAATGGTTTCGAATGAGGTTATGTGTTTACCGCCGTCTGGATCTCTCCCACATAAACGTCTTGGCCCTTATTTGTGTATTTTACACCTTAAACGAGGCCTCAAAACAGGGCTATGTTTGGGTGCGTAAGTCGCAAATCCGATCTTAGAGCCCTTTCCAGGAGCTCTCAAGGTCGCATTCCGACCCGATCACTTGCAATCCATGGGGAGCCACAGGCTCATTCTAGGAAAAGTCTTACGAACCATTTTTATCGCTCATTGTACCTTTAGATACGATTTTGCTCTTGTAGGGATAGATGGTTGATAAGGTAAGGCTCTTGAAGAGATCAGAGAAGAAGCTAGCGTGTAATTATTGACGGAAAATTTTTCACTCGTCTATCAGCTTATAGGTTTTCAATGACGTCTCCTGATGACTGTGCGCTAACTATGGTGGCTTACAAGCTAACTTTTCTGCAACTATCCTATCTGAGGATACTAACTTCGGAACAACAGTGATATCGGTTAAAAAAAATCTTCCATTGAAGGGGAAGTTTCATTGTCCACCGAGCAACTCTTAGATCCAACGCAGATTACAGGGACTGCAGAAATAAAACTAAAATGATGGTGTTGTTCGATACTGATAAACTCTGTCGATGTGACACTGAGCGAATCTCTTTGCTCCATATCCCCGTTCTCGTGAAACCGTTTTCCTGGTGCAGGGGTTGGCTCCGAGCATGAGCAGGTACTGGCCGCATAAGGTTCAGAGTGGTTTATAGGGGTGTGGTGCGATTCACGCGCCAATATAATGAGGTCATCGGACAAAACGTGCTAAAACATCATGCCTACCATCACAATGGGAGACTTAAGAACTTATAAGTAACATGAGTAAAGAAATGGCCAACTAGGCACGTTTACAGATGGATTGTGTTTTCTAGGATCAAAAAATTTGAAGTTATTGTTATTTTTAACGTTTGACAAGTAAATTGTTGACCTATGGACTGAATTCTTAACATAGAAGTGGCTTTATTGCCTTAGTGAAGAGATTTGCTCTAATTCATGATGAAGCCGTGGACTACTGCAAATTTATTTGGTCCATCTCGACAGAAAGGTACTGAAATGATGCTGCATGCGCGAAGAGCTCTAATGGGGTCACGCGTGAATCGCGCGCCCCCCGGTTTATAGAGCAGCAAAGAATGTATGGTCTCCTTTGCAGAGTTATATATCAGATTGTGAGGATATAATTGAGACTTTCGGATGAATAGCTTTGGTTTCATTTTGTTCCCGGGTTTTCCTGTATATTTTACTTCGTTTCTTTTTGGTTTCAGTAATATGTCTTTATTCTAGGTTCTATTTGGTTTGAAACACGATGACCGGTTGAACGCGTGACAATCGCTAGAATACTCGTTTGAATGGTCACATTCCGGTTTTTATAACAGCATAGCATATAATAGCAGGACGAAAATTGGGTTTATTTCGATCAACGCCAAAAAGAGATCCTCTTGGAAATAAGGCGTTATTCTGCGTATAGTGGAATAGAAAAGGAATGGTGTATTTCAAAGTGCTCGATTCCCTCCAAACCGTTACTGCCGGAGAACACGTCCAACATTAACACGTGCTCCTCGTGAAGGCCTTGAGGGATACTTTGGTGGATTACCAAGGGAAGATTGTTTTCAGGACGTGTAACAAAGGTTTATTAACACGCCTAGTACAAAGATCGACCATAATATAACATTCACGGGGTTTATATATTAGGTTGTAAGGAAAGTTCTGGCCGTTCCCGCGCACGCGCCATATGAATTCAAATTTTGGCGGCTGTCCATTCAGACTAATCGACATATTGTGCTCCTTAGGTAATTCATTAGTTGCTCTTTCTGTCATAGCGCTTTCCCTGAAGTCTGT